GGAGCAACTGTCTAGTAAACAGGAGGTTCTGTGTTCAATCTGCATCTAGGGAGGATATTTTTATCGTTCTTATTTATTTCTTAAAAAAATTTTCTTGAAAAAAAAACTATGTGGTTTAATATTATGAGTCTTAAGAATATTGGATATTGAGAAAAAGGGCATGAATGGAGGATATAGAGTGCTTGTATTGAAAGTGCCGCCATCTATGCATATGCAACTCTTGATACAATGATCTAGATCTATCAACATTCGTTTGTATACTATTGGTGGTCGTATTAATTTCTAATAATACTATTATTGCTGTTTTTTATAAATGAAAAAATTCATCTGTTTTAGCCTTACAGAAGTCTGACAGCTCTATATAACCTTGAAAAATATTATAATAATTTAATGTTTCATGTAAATAACTTTTTCTTGAATTTCCAAAGTCATTATAAAAAAATATTTTTTTATTTTCCTGCAAATATGATTCTGATCATTATTTACATTTGTATTCAGTAAGTGAAACATTTCTTTACTACAGGATATTTTTCTATCCATCAGATTATGTGTATCTTTAATTTAATTCGGTATAAGTAAGTAAAACATTGCTGATTCATTCTTTAATTCTAGAATTTAGTTAATATATCAAAGAGCGTGATTATCAAATTATTAACGAAATTTTTTTTAGAATTTTTCGATATTTATTTAGTATTTTATTACTTTGAATATTTTCTGGAATCGATTAAGCCCGTTAGCAGTATCTTTGATCGTCTGGTATTTAATTTCTTAATATATTTCAATGTCTTCGAACGATGTAGCATCATTTATTCTATATTAAGTAAGTTTTAAAAGAAACCGTTCATAGTCATTTGAAGATATTTTATTAAATCTACGTATTGCAATATTTTTTATTACATTGTCTCTTTTCCCTAAATTTCTAGTTTGTTATTAAGAATGTTACATTATACATTTTTACAGATTTTATTAATTTTGAAAAATAATCTTGTTTGTTTGATAACATTTAAGCTGTTAGTTGTGTTTGATAGTTTTATAATAGTTTTAAGATTTTTTTTATCGAATATAAATTTTTGTTTGTTTCCAAAGTAGATGGTTAAATTTACAACGGTCTGACTTTTAGCACAAATTAAAAATCTTTAACAAGGTTCAGCGTAAATTTTATCACAGATAAATATAAGAGGTAACATTGTGACAAGCGCATATTTAATTGCTAATCATAAAAAAATTAAGACCAGTGAAAAAGCTACTAAAAAAACTAATTATAAATGAGTAGCAATCGCTATNTTATAATAGTTTTAAGATTTTTTTTATCGAATATAAATTTTTGTTTGTTTCCAAAGTAGATGGTTAAATTTACAACGGTCTGACTTTTAGCACAAATTAAAAATTCTTGTAATCCTCAAACTGCTTTTATTAGGCCCACTTATTAAACATCAATATAACAACTTATTTCTTAAAATATTTCTGTTTCTTCGTCCTTTAAATTTTTGAATTTTAAAGTATGCTTTATCACTACCTCTATGAATGTAGTCATAAATATATTTCACACTTTAAAATAATACACTACATTTAAAGTTAATATATCATTTTATTTCATCAATAAATAGTATATTACGTACGAGTTTGCAAAGGCTTCGATTTATGAACCGAGAGGTTTACGGCACGAGCCAAAGGCGAGGGCCGTAAAGAGGTTCGTAAAGAAGCCTTTTTGAACGAGTTTCGTATACTATTTTTCTGCCTGAGAACCCAAAATCAAGCGGCAAAGGTGCTATTTTGAGGTTAGAAGGCGGAAAAATTTATTATTAGGAATAACCATTCAATTATCTGCTAAAATTTTATCTTCAATCCAAGTTTTGTAAATATGATTATCAGGTATGCTATTTGTTCTTTAATATTACGGGTAACCGTTTGTTTTGAATGTAGGTGAAAATGTAGTACGTGTGTATCAGGTTTTATAAAATTTTTTGTAGACTTCTGATTAGAATTAACCATACGAAGGCAATGTTCCATATTAGGAATATTAAGCATGTGTTCGATGACTAATTTTGTAAAAGTTCCACATTGCTCGAAAATATTTCAGGAGAAATGAGTGTATTAATTTGTTTAGGTGTAATATGTTTTTCACAGAATATAAAGTTATAGAAATAAGGTAAATGAGGTACACCTCGTTCCTGTAATTCAGTTGTATAAATGTTTGCCAAGACTTTACCAAAATATGATTTTTATAATCATCTAAAATCGATAGCAGTTTAAAATGATATAATCTAACTGTAAGATTTAGAATATTATTTGACGTCATGTTTTTTTAGGAATTTAAATAAAACTAACTTTAATTTTTTTTATTTACAATAACTTGCAAGTACTATAAATAATTCTGATCTACAGCATTTTCTCAATATAGCTATTGAGATAGGCAGTATAAAGATATTTTCAATTTTTTCCTTCGTCTAGAAATTTTTGGAAACATGCGATGCTCTATTAGTTATTGCCTTCAATAATCCTCATTCAAATTTATTTTAAGAACTTTTCCGATTGTATTTCAAATAACTGAGACAAATGTATTTAATTACTATATAGACGTGTATAATAAATTGTTGAGTCCACCATATCATAATGGATCAAAATTCTCGTAATCTGATTTGTAAGACAGTCTGCATCCACAATATAAATATATTGTAAGTTCTCCATTTTTCGTTAAGTAATTTTTCATATAACCAGTATGTTCGGATATGAGTACTAGGCGAGAAAAGGGGGGTGAGAAGAGACAATGCGAGTGACCGCCAATTAACGAGGTGCTGAGTATCACACGATGTAATGTTAGCCGTGCGACGATTAGAAAGCCACGCGAGGCGAAAACCACGCGAGTTGCCGGTCGCGCACCATCGAGGCAAGACGTCTCGCATGCTCTACGCGAACGAGGCCAGGGCGCCGCAGCTTAAAGCGAGAAAGTTCAATCAAGTTTTGGTGAGAGAAGAAAGCTCCTCCTCACGATTCAAGGCCAGGGCGCCTTCAGGTGGGTAAGCTGGGCTTACTCTTGGGCTTTTCCTTTACATCACACAAAGTAAAAGTTCTATCAAGTTAATAAGCAAGAGTTTACGTCGGCTTTTGTCACAAGGTAAATTTGTTAAAGGTTACCTCGTGGTTCGCTTTCTCGCTGTTGTAAGACACCGCTAATTGTTACATCTAATAAAAGGCCAAGGACCGGAAATTAACCTGTTATAAGTTACCTTATCAAGCATAGTGTCGTTAATAATAAAAGAAGTGAGTTTTCCAGTATAAGAATAAAATTATAAGTGAATTTTCTACAACGAACAGTGACATTTAAACTATATTAAACTCGAAGCCTTTTAGCGTTATTTCGGCAACTATAGCATGGTTAATAAACTATCTTTTAATTTTTCTTTTGTTTTTATCCACTATTAAGTTCAATTCAATATTTACGATAATAACTTAGTGAGTGCAAAGTTGAAAAGGAGTGAAATTTCGGAGCATTTGATAATTTAGTTTTCGCTTAAAATTGTAATTTCGTCAAAATAAAAACATTGGTTTCAGAGCTTTTGATGCAAAACTAATCTTGTAATAGAAACTTTGATGTATTAAACATTTAATTTTTTTATAACAACAGTGCTGTGTAGAAGAGTTAATTAACCGGCCTCTCAAATCCCGCAATCCGGCTTCCTAACAACAAACAACCAACAGTTAATTTTACAGTCCACTCGACGTATTTGAACAAAGTCCTTCGAGCCGGATTTGCGGATTTGAGAGAAGATATTTTAGCTCGGACGAGCGAAGAGACATCTTCAAGGTTAGCGCTGCTCGCTGCTCCCTAGTTAATGTAAACAAAGATCGGAATACGAGCTCGGTAATATCGCACACGTAGAAAAGGCCAAGGGGAGAGCACCAGTAAGCAAACGTTCGAGAAGAAAGTACAAGAAGCCACGGAAAAATACGCAATGAATATTTTGCTGTTCAAGTAACTACACCGCGCGCAACACCGTTGATATACCAGAATAAAGCGTCGGTTTCAAAACAAGGCGACAAATTCCAGAAAGGTCGTCGTGAGTAGTTTAAGCAGTGTATAACAGTGAAACCGATAACTTTGAAACTTTTCGTTCGACTATTGACTTTAATTTTAGAATTTGAAGAAAATCACCAAAATAATAGAATTAAGTTTAGATTATCAAATGCTATCGTTATTATCAAAAGCAAGATAACTATTGTTTATCTATGTCGTTAGCAAAACTTAAAGAATTATAAATCAAATTTACTTAAAGACAATTGTTCGCGTTATAAAACAGTAAAGTTTTCTTTGTAAATAGTGCGTCATCCTTTTGAGCGTTATTCTATTAAAGAAATCACATCAATTTTAAATACGATCAAAGACAATCGTTAGATCACACGATCAGAAGTTTTTTATTTCTATATCGAAACGCCAAAATTTATAACGATAGTTATCAATAAACACTAGTCTTTAATAGATTAACTGATCAAAATAATTATTGTTATAACAGTGGAGTCGAGCAATTATATTCGGCTTTCGATATTAGTTAAGGCTTTTCGATTATTTGTTTAATTTTTTTTTTTTTTGGTATTATTTCAAACGAAAACTCTTCTAGTTAGTAAGTATTTGATGTAAAGACTTCAATTTAAGTTTTGATATTATTACAAAGTTTTTGCTAGATAAAGGATATAATTGAATTGGGTCTTTGCTATTTTACAATATTTCGTATTCTTATATTGTTATTTATCATTTTTTTAGAATTAAGAGCATTCATACTGTAACTAGATTAAGTATAATATCTCTTCTCACCGACCAAAGGTAATGGGATTTTTGAAATAGCAAATTTTATAATTTTGGAATTTAAAGGATTTTTTTTTTTTTTTTCTTTCTCTTTTTTCGAACGTTTAGCTGATCTGATCGTGAACCACCAGGAGTTAGTCTCATACCCATACCCTTATTTCCATTTTGATTAGTTTACTTTCCTCGTAACTCACCAAAAATGGAGAATTTCGTAAAAGCTCAAGAAGCTCTGCGCCAACCTATCGCAAACGCATTTGCTAATTTTAAGAAAGTAGGGCAGAGTAAGATGACAAAGGGCTTAGCTAAATCTCACATCGCTCGACTTAACGAGAGGTATGATCGGTTAAAACAGAATCATGGAAATATTAGCAAGGCCCGAGATTACGATTCCCAACATGTTTATGTAACTTCAGATCTTTTTGAGACTATTTCAGATGAATATTATAACTCCTTAGGGGCTTTTAACGACTTCATGGAGCAATTTGAAACCCCCGCCTTATTGGACGAGTCGCTATTGAATCGAACGGGTCAAGCTCCCAGCTCATTCAACCCCCTCCCAAAAGTAGATATTCCAAATTTTTCAGGTGATTTAAATGATTGGGAGCCGTTTAAAGATTTATTTCGCTCCATGATTCACCGTCGCACTGACATAACTCCTGTGGTCAAGTTTCATCATCTCCGCTTTCATCTTAGTGGCGAAGCGGCTGAGTTAATTAAAAGCTTGCCGATTACAGTTGATAATTACGAGGTAGCTTGGGACATTCTTACGAAAAATTATGGTAGTCAAAGACGATTAGTGTCAGCTTACGCAAAAAAAATATTAGCGTGCCGTCCTATGAAATCAGATTCTTTACAGGAACTTAAGCGACTTCAAACAGAATCGCTCGCGCCTTTAGACTCTCTAATCGCGATTGAAAGAAGCGTTGGCGACGCGGATTTCTTCATTGAATTTGTTGTCAGCAAGTTCGATTTTTACCTCAAACGCGATTGGCAGCGATTTATCGGTGCAGGCACCTCCCCGCCTACTCTTGAACAACTTCGAACTTTTTTCTTCAATCAGACAATGCTATTAGAGGGAATAGGAGAACGTGGTTCCGCTGTCAAATCCACTCTCAAACACTCCACTGTTCACGCTTCTAACGTAGAAAAATCGCAGTGTACAGTGTGTGAAGAAGCTCATTCATTGAGACATTGTCCAAAATTTCGTGAGAAAACCGCAACAGAACGAAAGAACGTGGTTTTCCAGTCCCAGCGTTGCTTGAATTGCTTAGGGATGCACTTTGTTAAGGAGTGCCCTTCTCCTAGCCGTTGTAGAAAGTGCAGTCACAAGCATCATTCCTTATTACATGTTGACAAAATGGAGAAAACTACAGCCGCTCATCAGGCTAATGCCGAATCTTCAGATTCGAGCTCAGAAGAAGAAATTTCGACCTCTGTGAATCAAGCGATTGAGACCGTGCGTAATCGTAGCTCAGGAGTTCTACTGTGTACTGCTCGCGTTCGAGTCAAGTGCTGGGACGGCGAAGAGCTTCTCGTTAGAGCCTTGATAGACCAAGGTTCTCAATGCTCAATGATCTCGCAATCCCTTAGTGACTTGCTTAAACTGAAACATCAAAGGATTCGAACGCGACTTGTAGGACCCGGAGAGATAGTTATAGGGCAACCGCGTTTTTCTGTGCAATTGGAAGTCAAACCCCATTTTCGCTCCAAGACTTTACTAAAGATCGAAGCCCTAGTACTGCCTCGCGTCTCCTCTTATCGTCCTCCCGAGAAAGAACGTGGTAATTTGCCTACAGCTTTTCAAGGGTTACGATTGGCCGATCCTCAGTTTCTCTTGGAGGATCGTATCGACATGATTTTAGGCGCTGAAGTGCACGCCGCAATTATCAAAGGTTTAGTGAAAAGAGGTTTACCTCACGAGCCCATTGCAACTTCTTCCAGATTAGGTTGGTTGTTATCTGGTCACGCTGGTTTTAACAATCGAACTACCAGTTCGCAAACAGTTTCCATAAATTGCATCTCACTCGTTGATTTAACCGACACTTTGCAGCAATTTTGGAAGTTAGAGGAACCTCCTGATCGAACTCAAGAGCTCAGTCCGGACGAAATTGCTTGTGAAGAAAGTTTTGAGAAAACTCATTCTAGAACTAAGTCAGGTCGCTTCGTAGTCGGTCTTCCCTTTAGGATTAATCCTTCTGTGCTGCAACCATATTCTTCACGAAATCAACAATCTTCCAAAGCAATGCTTATTCAAATGGAGAAAAAATTCGACACAAATGAAAAACTGAAGACCGATTACGCTTTATTCATGCGCGAGTATTTAGAGTCGAAACAGATGTCTGAGTTCGAACCTGCCGCGGGCCAAAAGCATTGGCTGCTCCCTCATCACGGCGTAGTTAGGGAGTCTAGCTCCACAACTAAGTTACGCGTAGTATTTAACGGGTCATCGAAATCCAAGGACGCTGTTTCGCTGAATGATACACTATATCCTGGCCCGAATTTACTGTCGTGCTTATTCGATTTGCTTTTACGATGGCGTAAATATAACGTCGCTTTCACAGCGGACATAGAGAAAATGTTTCGACAGATTTCAGTAAGAGAAGAAGATCGAAAATATCAGACCATCTATTGGCGTTTTGAAAGCACCGAGCCTATTAAGATTTTTAAGTTGAATACAGTTACTTACGGTTTGGCCTGCTCTCCCTTCTTAGCTATAAGAGTGTTGAAGCAGTTAGCGCTTGAAGGTAGGGAGCGCTTTCCCGTAGGTGCTGAAGCTTTAGAACGAGACGTATATATGGACGATGTTTTGTCCGGTGCCCATTCGGAAGCTGAAGCTAAGACCAAAATTGCCGAATTGCAAGCTCTAACCCGAGAAGGAGGGTTCCCCCTGCGTAAATGGGCTTCGAATAACCCTCGATCTCTTCAAGACTTGAACCCTGAATTGATCAGTCAAGGAGATATCTCATTGTCTGAAAACGAAAATTCTATCACCGTGCTTGGACTAGTCTGGCAACCTACTCTAGATTTTTTCCGCTATGAGGTTAAGATCGAAGAGTTTCCCTCGGTTTGGACTAAGCGATCGTTTTTATCACGATTAGCCAAACTATTTGATCCTCTCGGCTGGCTATCTCCCGTTATGATTACAGCTAAGATCATGATGCAATCTTTGTGGGTTTTGAAACTAAATTGGGATGATCCTTTACCCGAATCTCACACCGAACCTTGGTTACATTGGCTAGTCAATCTTCCGAGTGTTAATCAAATAAAGATTCCTCGCTGGAATTATTACTCTCCTGATTGCTCGAAACTAGAAATCCACGGTTATGCTGATGCGTCCAAGTTAGCTTACGCTGCTGTTGTATACCTTAGGATTGTTTATCAGGGTCAAGTGAAGGTTTCTTTACAGCTAGCAAAAACCAAAGTGGCTCCTTTGAAAACTGTGAGCATTCCCAGACTAGAGCTATGCGCTGCCCATTTACTTTCTAAAGTAACAGCGCATTATGCCAAGAAAATGGAGTTTCCTGTATATTCTATACATTTGTGGTCAGACTCTCGTGATGTTTTGCACTGGTTAAACGAGTTACCGTCAAAATGGCCTATTTTTATAGCTAATCGTTGTGCTGACATTCTAAATCTGGTCCCAAAGGCTATTTGGCATCATGTCCCAGGCAAGCATAATCCCGCAGATATTGCTTCTCGAGGTATTTATCCTGACCAAGTCTCGTTGCTCGAGCAGTGGTACAAAGGGCCTGACCTTTTGCACCAACTCGACCCTGTTTACCCGAAGTTTGCCAATGTTATTGTACCCACAGTTGTAACACACGTAACCGAAGCTAAATATCCCAACTGGAGGTTGTTGAACGACTGCTCGGACTTAAGTCGATTGTGTAAAATCACGGCTTATTGTTTTAGATTTATAATAAAGCTTATACGAGCACGAAATCGATCTCTCGGAATGACAAAGGAGTTTTTCAAAGATTTGAGATTCCTTCATGTTCACTCCTTTGAGGAACCTGACAGTCTCATACTCTGTCCTTCCGAAGTTCAACAAGTTAAGTTTTATTGGGTAGCGGTCCATCAACGCTACTTTTTTGATCGCGAGATTAAAATATTGCACGAAAACATCGATCCATCGCTTAAAGAAAGGAAACTTCTCCCCTCGGACAGCAAGCTATTAAAACTCGACCCTTTTTTAGATTCTGGTTTGATTCGAGTTGGAGGTAGGCTTCAAAATTCAGAATTAGGATTAAGCATTAAACATCCTTTGGTCTTATCCCCGGATGAACTATTGACGACCTTAATTATACGCGATAAACACATTAAATGTTTACATGGAGGCCCCCAAACCACTCTAGTGCATCTCAGAGCTGAATTTTGGATAATAGGAGGGCTTCAGACAGTGAGTTCTGTGATTTCTCGCTGCGTCACGTGTCGGCGGCACGCAGGACGTACGCAAACTCAAATGATGGGTGCCCTCCCCACGCCGCGAGTTTTACCGGCTGACCCCTTTACGAAAACGGGCATAGATTATGCCGGCCCGGTTAAGGTTCGACTTACCAAAACTAGAGGCAGAATTACCACCAAAGGCTGGATAGCGGTTTTTATATGTATGTGCACTCGTGCTATCCATCTAGAGATAGTAGAAGACTATTCGGCCGATTCATTCGTCGCTGCTTTCATCAGATTTACTTCACGCCGAGGCGCCTGCCTTGAGCTGTACAGTGACCGCGGTTCGAATTTTATCGGAGCCGAAAAGGAGCTCGCCCAGATGTTATACGATTACAGTCAATCATATCCGAAAGCTCAACTTGCGGAAATGAATACCTCTTGGCATTATAACCCTCCTGCAGCTCCTCACTTCGGGGGAATTTGGGAATCCGCAGTCAAGTCCACAAAATTTCATTTAAAGCGCGTTATTGGAGATCAAACTCTCACATTTGTTGGATACATGACTTTACTTTGCAGAATCGAGGTTTTACTTAATTCGCGCCCCCTCGTCCCAATGACTGGTAATATCGAGAGTCTCGACGTTATTACGCCTGCATATTTATTGAACCTCAAAAAGCCTTTCATCATTCCTGAAGCGCCTTTATCTAACGCCAATGTTCCTCCTTTAAAACGTTGGCAGTTTATCGCTCAGCTGTCGCATCAGTTTTGGAAAAGATGGTCAGCTGAGTATTTGACTTCTCTTCAGTCTCGCGAAAAGTGGCAGAATCCCTCTCGATCTATCACTCCTGGAGACATGGTTTTAGTCAAGTATGAGAATACCCCCCCAGGGAGCTGGCCTCTTGGTCGTGTTATGGAAGTTTTTCCCGGAAAGGATTCATTAGTTCGCGTAGCGACTGTAAGGACCGCCACTACTACCTTTTTAAGACCCATCCACAGATTAATCCTCCTGGTGGAAAGCGAATCAAATTAATTGGCTCGCCCGCTTGTTTTATTGAGTTCGGGCAAGCCAAGGGGGGAGTTTGTTCGGATATGAGTACTAGGCGAGAAAAGGGGGGTGAGAAGAGACAATGCGAGTGAGCGCCAATTAACGAGGCGCTGAGTATCACACGATGTAATGTTAGCCGTGCGACGATTAGAAAGCCACGCGAGGCGAAAACCACGCAAGTTGCCGGTCGCGCACCATCGAGGCAAGACGTCTCGCATGCTCTACGCGAACGAGGCCAGGGCGCCGCAGCTTAAAGCGAGAAAGTTCAATCAAGTTTTGGTGAGAGAAGAAAGCTCCTCCTCACGATTCAAGGCCAGGGCGCCTTCAGGTGGGTAAGCTGGGCTTACTCTTGGGCTTTTCCTTTACATCACACAAAGTAAAAGTTCTATCAAGTTAATAAGCAAGAGTTTACGTCGGCTTTTGTCACAAGGTAAATTTGTTAAAGGTTACCTCGTGGTTCGCTTTCTCGCTGTTGTAAGACACCGCTAATTGTTACATCTAATAAAAGGCCAAGGACCGGAAATTAACCTGTTATAAGTTACCTTATCAAGCATAGTGTCGTTAATAATAAAAGAAGTGAGTTTTCCAGTATAAGAATAAAATTATAAGTGAATTTTCTACAACGAACAGTGACATTTAAACTATATTAAACTCGAAGCCTTTTAGCGTTATTTCGGCAACTATAGCATGGTTAATAAACTATCTTTTAATTTTTCTTTTGTTTTTATCCACTATTAAGTTCAATTCAATATTTACGATAATAACTTAGTGAGTGCAAAGTTGAAAAGGAGTGAAATTTCGGAGCATTTGATAATTTAGTTTTCGCTTAAAATTGTAATTTCGTCAAAATAAAAACATTGGTTTCAGAGCTTTTGATGCAAAACTAATCTTGTAATAGAAACTTTGATGTATTAAACATTTAATTTTTTTATAACAACAGTGCTGTGTAGAAGAGTTAATTAACCGGCCTCTCAAATCCCGCAATCCGGCTTCCTAACAACAAACAACCAACAGTTAATTTTACAGTACACTCGACGTGTTTGAACAAAGTCCTTCGAGCCGGATTTGCGGATTTGAGAGAAGATATTTTAGCTCGGACGAGCGAAGAGACATCTTCTAGGTTAGCGCTGCTCGCTGCTCCCTAGTTAATGTAAACAAAGATCGGAATACGAGCTCGGTAATATCGCACACGTAGAAAAGGCCAAGGGGAGAGCGCCAGCAAGCAAACGTTCGAGAAGAATAGCCTAAGTACAAGAAGCCACGGAAAAATACGCAATGAATATTTTGCTGTTCAAGTAACTACACCGCGCGCAACACCGTTGATATACCAGAATAAAGCGTCGGTTTAAAATTATTACAGCAGCACATGCTGCTGTTGATGGTTCTTTCTATGTATGTGACCATTTCTTCGTAAAAAAATCATTTTATAATTTTTTGTGAAAGAAAAACGTACATATCTGTTTAAAAACATGAATCAAAATATTTTTATTATTATGAAATGTACGTTTCAAACTATACGACGAACGTGTTAATGATAAAATTACAAGTACAAAATGAAAGGCTGTTCTGTTCTTTTATTTTGTTAAAATAATTGTTTACTAAATCTTAAGATTATCCAAATCAAAATTAAAAATAAAGTATAATTAAAAAATTTTGTGATGTGGGTATTTCTATTTTTTTCGATGTAAGAATTTAAAAGCACAGTGTATCAAAAAATAAGTAATTTTTTTTTGTGTTTTCATTTGTTAGAACTCTAATTTTTAAGATGCAGTTTATATATTTCAAAACCTGAATTTCTTAGACAAAAAAGATTAAAATTAAAAGAAATAAACTTGGAAAAAAAAATAAATTAAATTGTTATTGCTCAAAACTTTCTTGCCACACCATGTTTTCAACGTTCGCTTGATTCTCCAAATCATTTTGTATAAATATATTTTCAGGATTTTTACATCTTGATACCAGTACATATAGTTGACCATAAGAAAACAAAGATCTTTTGTAGTAAAATCCTGATTTATCAAAACTTTGACTTTGCGACTTATTGATTGTAATGAAAACTTTGCTTATTGTTTTTTAAATCCTCAAAAAAAAAATTTTGGAATGATTTTCAAATAGTCTTACCACAAATCTCTGCAGATATTAAAAACCATCTGAAAAATTTTCTCAGTTAATATGGCAGCATCAGACATTAGTGGGGGTATTTCTGACTGCAATACTACGGAATGCTACTTTTTCCAGCGGTATGGGCGCCCCATTGCTGCAAAGCGGCTGAACCAGGCGCATATTTTTTATTTTATTTGAGAAGCATTGTAAAAGTATGTGCCCACAAAGAGAGGAGTAGATTCGCGTGGAAATGTGCATACTGGTGCACATTTTGGAGATGCATGAAAGAGGTATATCGAATGTGCGCCTACGAGGAGAGGAGTTTTAATGTCGGCCATAGCTGTATAGCTGAGCGCGTAACAAAAGCAAGGAACAACGACGACTGCGACGAGTCTTCTTCACCAGTTGCACTTTAGCTATACCTATAAGTATAATATGAAATTCGACTGACTTGCTTTAATCTTATGATTGAACTGTGACGTTCTATGGTATTTATATGTAGCTAATTGCCTAGAAAAGAGTCATCATGTTAACTATTATCAAGTCAGGGGGTCACGACTCGCACATATACTACAGTATTCTGCTTAGTTAATTATACTTTTGAGAATATAATCACCCACCCTTCTAATATCCGATGTAATGGTGAACAAGTAGGAGGCTGTAGGAAGTCTTGGTGCTTGCCAGTACTCAATGTTACGAGTACATCAAACGATCCAAGGAAAGATAATAGGATCCCTTACCCGGAAATCTGAAAATAGCCACTTTAAGGCATTATGGCTGTTTTATCCGAAGAGATGGCGTAGTAGTCAGAAAAGTGTCTTATACATAAATAAACTACATTAAACAATACATGTGGAAATAGTCATATATACAATTCTACAGCATACAAGAGAGCATATGGCTCAAAATCACATGGACATCAACATAAGATGCTTATTCGCAGATAGACTTATAATAGAATGGCTTAGTAATCGTCATGTTGTGTGGTACGATTGTTAAGCCAACGATAGAAAATAATAATAATTGAATAATATTTATAATTGGATTACTTAAATTTTTAATCATAACTTACAAATAAAAATATAATTACTGGCGTAATGCGCACGCGAAAGGTTCAGACACAATGCTTCACCAATCCCGTTGCTATAGGCCAGTCATAAAGTATGAGATTAGTCTAGAGGTCCGAGAAGCAGGGTACATTTGATCTGCTAGGCAGACGATCCAGAGCTGAATCTAGCGTTGCTACTTCTTGCTTGTACAGCAGACCTCGGTTCTTCGGCGGCTCAGTAATTGCATCGGGCGTGGGAGATTCGCAGACCATGGTCATTGGTTGATTTCGTCGTAAGATGTTGTCTCTTTTCCAGTACACTTGGCCTTCACAATGCGCATTATCACTATACTACTTTACTTTTCAGCGGTAGCTTTAAACGCGCAATAATAAGTTTCTATTCATAATCTCAATATTATTACAGCGGTTTTTGTCGGAAAAAAAAATGTTACTGATTTTTTAAGTAGGAGTGATCGATGGTCACACAACATCTAAGAAATTGAAAGGGCATAATTAAATAATGAACAAAAAGTTTCGGCAAATGTCTATAATATAGTTTGTTGTTTGATGTTTATATTATACTTATTTCTGGTACCATAACGTTATAAACATCCTTTAATATTTTATATATTCGAGAGTCATATTCAACTAAACCTTAAGCAATAGCAGTATTTCTAAACATACTGTAATGTTTGTTATTAACTGTTTTCAAACTTTGAAAGAATAAGCTCCACTTGCCCGATTAAAAATTAATTTAAAAAAAAAGTCTCAGAGTCCTTAGGCAGCACTTTATTAAGTCACTCTATTGTTAAATTACGTCGAACTCTTTTTCTTCTAACTGATGTTTTTAGCCTCAAATTGAGACAGTAATATTCTGAAATATTCACTTATCTAATTTTTTTCGCGTAACTATCTATTTTATTTTATTTAAGAGAGTTGGGTCGCTCCCACGGAAAGGTGAAGGGGAGCACGTGTATGTGTATAAAGCACGGTGATAAAGTTTTCTGTACTAACCTAGCCTAAAAACATCTGCCCTTTTGATTACGGAAAATGCATTTGTGTTTAACTCACCAGTACGCGTTAATGTTTAAATAACATACTGTAAAAAAGTTACAGAATATTCTTCAAGGTATCTAGTTTCTTATGGCATTAATCAAATAGCCTAAATTCTTTCTCTGTGGGAGATAAAAAATAAAGAGTAAACGGGATAGTTAATCTGATCTTCTTTTGATAAAAGTGTGCTATAAATTTTCAAAATTAGAGATTTTAATGGTAAAGCATAAAAGTACAAAGTCTTATTAAGGCTTTTACCAAATTTCAGATCATAATTCTAAATAGAACTGCTTCTAGAAGTGACTTTGTGAAAAGATATCATGCCACGTAAAAAGTCAACCTGACGGCAAACAGTGTAGTTAGTGCGTCTTTGACTCACGCATAAATGTAGCATACGAGCTGGAAATAAGTTTGTTTACGTTTGTGCAAACATCTCCATAACTGCAGACGCAATTTTGTTGAAACTTTGTACATGTAACAATGAAGTTGTCATAGATACCATATTAGTTTTTTAAAACATTCTCATCGCTGTATCAAGCGTAATAGGTAATTTTCTACAACTTTTGTAATAACTTAAATTTGAGCCCATGTTAAAGACGATAAAATAGGGAAATTTGGTGACAACATTCATGCAATGTTTCTTTACAACATATAATTTTTTTCAAACATTTTCATCGTTAAGTGAATTGCGACCCAACTTCCTTACACCAAGCCGTTCATACTGACTTGGAATTTTCTATAGCTTTAAACATATTATTTTCTCGAAAAACTATTTTTTGTT